CTGCTGCTGCTGCTGCTGCTGCTGCTAACCTGTAGTGGCCCAAAAACCTCCTGAAGTGCCACTTTCCGGGCCGCGGCGTCGAAGGCGAGGGTTTGCAGCGGCAGCAAAACGGCAGTGGGGGCGTAGAGCCCGAACTGCGGGGGCACTGAGTGCTGCTGCTGCTGCTGCTGCTGCTGCTGCAGCGGGTAGCCGCCGAATAGCAAGCAGGCGCCCTTCAGGGACAGCAGCGCCTGCGAAACAATCCGACAAATCCTAAACCCTAAACCCTAGACACCAAATCCGAAACACGGAACCCCAAACCCTAAACCCGCGTTGCTCCAACTCAAACCCTAAACCGTAAACCCTACAACGCCACAAAGGCTGGCACTTAATTTTGAAGCCTCCACGACGCCTCGAAACCCATTGCAAAGCCCTAAACCCCAAACCCTAAGCCCTAAACCCTAAACCCTCGACAGACCTGCACGTGGCGGTGCATTTGCTGGTTGTTTAGAGACAACAAGGGGCAAATTGTGAGGGTCTGGAGAGAACGGCGAGCAGCAGCAGCAGCAAGAAGCTCAAGCAGCCCCGCAGCAACCCAGTTGCGGTGCACGAACAGCAGCGACTGTGCTGAGCACTTTTGCCCTGAACCCAAACCCAAACCCTAAACCCTAAACCCTAAATTCTAAACCCCAAACCCTAAACCCTCAGCCCTGGGCGCTAGGCGCCTGTGCGCGAGCCCTCGATTGCCTGTCGCTGCTGAGGCTGCACGAGTGCTGGGCCAAAACCCTAAACCCTAAACCCTAAACCCTAAATTAGGGTTTGGCGCCGGCGGACCGGAGAGCGCGTAGGCGTCCTCGTCGGCCTGCCAAGCCACGTAGGCGAGGGTTTGCTGCTCGCTAGGGTTTATGTCTTTTCCCAAAACCTTAAAATTAAAACCCCCGTCTTCTATTCGCACGCGGCCCTGCAGCAGCAGCGACAGCTCCCGCGCCACCGAGGTGCTGCCTGCAGCAGCAACACACGCAGCACCAGCGCCTCCTGCTGCTGCTCTTGCTGCTGCTGCTGCTGCTGCGATGGAGGGCGTGGGAAAGGAGAGGGGAGCGAAGATGCAGGGGTGCACACTGCGGAGGCAGCAGCAGCAGCAGCAATACCTGCAAACGCAGCAGAAGCGGCAGCAGCAGCAGCAGCAGCTGCTGCTGCAACACTGCTAGTAACAGCAGCAGGAGCACCAGCAACCGGAACAGCAGCAGCAGCAGCACTGGGTTGAGCGGCAGCAAGAGTAGCAGCAGTAGCAACACCAACAGCAGCAGGAGCAGCAGCAGCAGAAGCAGCAGCAGCAGCAGCAGCAGCAGCTACCTGTGAACTGGAGAAGCCTGATGGGGCTTCGCCGCAAAAGCTCCGACATCACAGGGCCCCTCGCGCTGATTAAGTCCGCGTCTTCCAACGGCATGCCGCAGTAGTGCAAAAACCTTAGCAGCAGCAGCAGCAGCAGCAGCAGCAGAGTCTGTTGATTAGGTGGCTAGTTAGTTGATTAGCTAGCTAGATAGCTAGCTAGTTGATCACCCAGCCACCCAGCCAGACAGCCAGCTAGCTAGCTAGCTGGTAGCTATTCAGTTAGTTAGCTAGCTAGCTAGCTATTAACTTAGCTAGTTAGCTCGCTAGCTAGCTATTAAGTTAGCTAGTTAGCTAGTTAGCACGTTAGCTAGTTAGTTAGTTAGATAGCTAGCTGGCCAGCTAGTTAGTAAATTAGTCAGTTAGCTAGCTAGCTAACAAGCCAGCTAGCTAGCTAGCTAGCTAGCTAGTTAGTCAGCTAGCTAGCTAGCTGACTAACTAGCCACATGTGGGCCCACCGGAAGAATTGCTCCAAAGGCAGTCCCTGTCTGGACTCGGCCTTCACCACGGGCTTGTTCCCAGCAAAGAGAGCGCCCATCATCTGAGCAGCAGCAGCAGCAACAGCAGCAGTTGCAGCAGCAGCAGCGAGCCAAATAATGCAGCGGCACTGACGAACTGCAGCCAGCGAGAGCAGCAGCAGGTATTACGGCAGCTGCAGCAAAAGCAGCAGGATCAAGTCAGCCAGTGCAACAGCAGCGGCAGATTACGGTCTGCTGCAGCAGAAGCAAGCCTGACAATGCAGCAGCAGGAAGCTGGACCCAGCAGCAGCAGCAGCAGCAGCAGCAGCTGGGCAGCTGCCTCACCTGCATGACAGGAATCTCCAGCGGGAAATTGAAAGGGGAAATTATGGCCACAGGCCCGTAAGGCCATCTGCAGCAGAGTTAGCAGCAGCAGCAGCAGCAGTAGCAGCAGCAGCAGAGCATCAGCAGTAGCAGCAAGCTATATTTAGCTGCAACAGCAGCAGCATCTAGTAAGGTCTGGCGGCACTTTAATAACCCCAACAATAAGCAACATCGACAACAGCAGCAGCCGCAGCAGTAGCAAAGCAGCAGCAGCTGCAGCAGCAACAACAACAACGAAGCAGCAGCAGCAGCAGCAGCAGCAGCACCTGTAGGACTGTGTCTGCTGCCCTTCACGGTCTCCAGCTACGAAGTGTCCCTTCAAGGCGAACCTGACATTGTCTCCGCTGAAGTTTTCAAAGAAGGACCGCAGCACCTTCACTTCCCCCTCAGCCTGCAGCAGCAGCAATAGCAGCAGCAGCAGCAGCATCAGCAGCAGCAGCGGCAGCAGCGCAGGAGCACCGTCCATAATAACGCCCTAACCGTCGCCATCCTCCTCATCAGCAGCTCCCAGCAGCAGCCGAAGCGCCAGCAACCGCAGGTGCAGCGGCAGCAGGTGCAGCAGCATCAGGGGTAGCAGCAGCAGGGGCAGCAGCAGCAGGAGCAGCAGCAACAGGGGGAGCAGCAGCAGACGCAGCAGCAGCAGGGGCAGCCGTAGTAGGGGCAGCAGCAGCGGCTGACTTGTTGCTGGGACTTGGGCATAGTGAGCTGGATGCACTTGGTGAAGAAGCTGAAGACTTGCTGCTGCTGCAGTGCCGCTGCAGCAGCAGCACAGATGCGGCCGTACAGCAAATAGCGGCTGGGATTTTTCAAAGGATTGTGGAGGCCGTGTTTGGGGCACTTCGCGAGAGACTGGACAAAAGGAGACAGTTCCTCCACCTGCAGCAGCAGCAGCAGCAGCTGCAGCAAAAGGTGCAGCAGCAGCAGCAACAAGAGCAGCAGCAGCAGCACCAACAGCAGTAACAGCAGCGAGAGCAACAGCAGCAGCAACAACAGCAGCAGCAGTAGAAACAGCAGCAGCAGCAGCAGCAGTCCCAGCAAAAGCAGCACCACCAGAAGAAAGAGCAGCAGCAGCAGAACCAGCACAAAAAGCAGCAGCAGCAGCAGCAGCAGCAGCAGCAGCAGCACCTGGGTGTCCGGCGCCCTGGCAATGACGTGGCCCTTCAAGGGGCTGACAACTTCATAAGCAGCAGCAGCAGAAGTCCAGAGGCCCCCCACGAGGTTTTGAATCTTGTGGGGGGGCCCCCCTGCAGCAAGAGCGTCAATGTCTAGGTTGGTAAACTCCGAAACAATGCTGCTGCTGCTGCTGCTGCTGCTGCTGGCTGGGGCGCCGGCGGAGCTGCTGATGC